ATATTATTTCAGCATCATTAAAGTATGTCGACTACAATTATTAAAAAAATAATGAGGAACTCACTGAACTAAAAAGAAATAAGACAACTGGACTGAGACTGTATCTTGTATCAAAGCCGTTAAATGGGACACACTGTATACTATATATGTGTTTCCGATTACAATGATGTAACACACTTTTCATTTTAGTTCACTCGTTTATGATAAATCGGCAAAAATAGGAAATTTTTATATAAGTTCAAAGAGTACCCTGAATAAAAATGTTTACGTTTGACATACTAGTAAACAACGTTGATGGTTGAATTATTGTCCAAGTCATTATTGCTAAAATGGTTTTTCTCGAATTTAGCATCCGTAAAATGAATGATACGAGGGCAGCGCCAAATTTTCCCGGCCTGAATATGAAAGAAACAAAGTAGAGTAACTTCAATACACTTATTACATCTCTTTATTAAGAACTCAATCCCTTTAAAAAAATATTCTTTTGGTTTGTCTGCAAAATGAGCTAAAACAGCCTCTTTTAACTCAACTTTGTTGTTAAACCGCGGTCCACGTTAGTCCTTTTTCAAACATCCAAACAAATAATAGTCGCTGGGGGCCATATCTGGACTATAGGGAAGATGATCTATCTATTGGAACCCACACTGTAAAATGGCAGCTTCTGCAACACCAGCAGTATTGACAGGTGAGAAGAATTCCTTCACCATCCCAAAAGATCGTGGCCATCACCTTTTTTGTTCACTGGCAGACTCTGAATTTTCTTGGAGGTGCTTCACCCTTACGACGCCACTCCATTGATTCTTTTTTCGATAGAGGGTCATAATAGAGAACCATAGTTTCATCTCCCGTCACAATAGTTCAGTCACACAGGCATCACAGACTTCAGTTCCGACCCACAGAGTTCCAAAAGACCGCGCACACTCGATACGGTGTTGTTTTTGAATAGCCGAAAGGTTTTTAGGAACCCATCTTGCATTAACCTTACGCATACCTAAATGATCATGCAGGATTCGACCAACACTTGTATCAGAAAGCTTAGTAATTTCTGAGATTTCCTTGACCTTTAAACGTCGGTAACTCAATACCACCTCTTCCACAATCGCAACAATATCTTCCGATATGACCTCCGCTGGTCGACCAGTTCTTGAATCATCTTGAAGGGACTCCTGCCCTATTCGAAAACGTTTTGCCCATTCTTTCACTACATAATACGAAGGAGAACTTTGGAAGTACACACCATTCAGCCTTTCTAATAATTCTAGGTGCTAACCCTTCTTTTGTCAGTTTTGAGAGAATATAAATAAAATTTAAATTTCGTAAAACTCAAAAACTAACTAAGGAGGATGCAGTTTTGTTTGGATTTTTTAGATAGACATAATGGAATAATAATTTTTTGGAAAACATTTTATGGACTGATGAAAGTTCGTTCACTACAAGAAAGGGTTGTAATAGAAAAAATAGGCGTTATTGGCCTTTAAATAATCCTAGACAAATACACGAAATAAAAATCCAGAGGTATCAATTAATGTATGGTGTGGTGTCATTGATGGGCATATTTTGGTCGCGATATTTGTAGATCCAAAGAACTGGAGATCATTATTTGCAACTCTTGGAGCACCAAATAGAACAATATATAAAATATATAGATTTTTTTGGGGACACATGAAAAATCACGAAGTAATGTCGTTTAATTTTGGCAAAGGATTTTATTTCCGTATGAGAAATATGTTCAGGAAAATGGTGGTCACATACACCAGTATTTAGAATAGTTAAAGAATTTTTTATTTTAGTTTGTCTTGTTGTTTTTAATGTTTTTGTGTTTAATTTGTAAATAATTATCGTTGTCGCAGTCAGCCAAGGCACTCTTTGAAATTACATAAAAAATATATTTTTGGCGATTTCTCAAATATGAGTGAACTAAAATATAAACATATATAATATACAGTGTTCCATTTAAAATATATGACGTAGGCTTATTTGTGAGAAAATTGATAGTATTTTGTTTTATACGTCACTTGGAAAAAACTTGGCTATTAACCCTACATTTTGTTTTTTTGTTTACCTTGATATCTCTGAAAACAAAAAAGTTACAGCCAATTAATAAGCAGGTCGCAGATAAATTAGAGGTCAATATTTTCAAGACGTATTCTACGCATCAAAAGAGAGACTAAAGTGTTGATCAACCATGATCCACATTTTCCCTGTTTCCTCTGGAGCAGTCAGGACGAACTACACTTTATCCCAGCTAACAAACAAAAATTGAAAATTAGAATTTTGAAAACTCGTATGATTCGATTAAGTTATATTTGAACATCATTTCAACAACATCCCCTAGTTGTTTTCCTCCCCTTCTTGCAAAAAAAAACCATTATCTGTTTATGCCCTTTTAAGACAGGCAAATTCGGCAAAAATGGGGCCAGCGACTTGCGAGCATCACCCTGTAAACGCTACTCATAGTTTCGACCGTATGAATGAATTAATTTCGAGCACAAAAATTGAAAACGTACCCGACGACCGATCCCTTGCATGCTTGTTCAAACATCGAGCTGTAGTTCAGGTCGTTTACCCCCGTTCATGGTGGGTTAAAAATTTTATAGAACAACGGGGGGGTTTAATTTTTAATGGGGACGACGAATAGATTATTGCTTTCAAGTGGAATTTATCGACATTTGTAAGAAACGCCAGTATTGATTGTGGTTGGTTGTCGTGAATCTCCAGCACATTTATTAAATGAGTGACTGGTTGACTTAACGAGGAAATTGGAAATCAACTTTAATTAGAACGTGATTTCTAGCAACTGTACGTCATGTATAGCATTTTTCACTCTTACTTATGACCTTGGCAGACATATCCTTCACAAGCTAATGCTAGTGAACTATGGTGACAGTGGTATAAGAGTTGTTGCCAAAGAGACTAGGATTTTTCTTCACGAATCACGGGTGCCCAGAGATAAAAATACAGCTTGAAGATGCAGTATTACATATGACATGCGAGACTGCTTCCTTTGAAAAGCGATTCTTTAAGCCTGATAATCAGAGCACAAAAACTGTTTGCGTTTGAGCACAGAGAGTTTAAGTGTAAATCCTCCCACCTAAGTTGTGGAGCCAATAATCACTCATAGCAATGTAATATTTTTGACCTCTGGGTTTGATTTGCTGTTCAAGTTAACATGTAGAGAGTAATTCCGACCAGATGACTTCTCAAAAAAAACGAGACCAGTTTAGTCGGTGGTCAAGCTCAGAAAGTTTTGCTTGCACCACCCTCAGCATACAGATAAGCTCATTAAAGTACAAAACAACACAGAATAGACATGAACACGACTCTGCAAAAATAGCTTTAATTTAGTAGCATAAATTTATAAGCTTAATTCATTTTTTTTTGTTCTGTTTATATTCAAGGTGATTAACGTAATACTGTAAATGTAAAACAAGCCTATTCGCAGTAGCTTAAACTTAACTTAAAAATTCCTTCGTCAAATTCAGATTTTGAATAATAAAGAATTTTTAGTCTTACATTGTTCTGTGTGTTACTAAGATTAATAATGTGTTCCGTTTTTAAAAATGTATTATTATTTTGCAAATCCGTCAAATTTTGTAATTTTTTTAGTAATTTGTGAACCCGTTAGTTAAATTAAATATTTTACTTATAAATAAAGACGATTTCATCGATTAATAAAACAAAGTTTTCAAGGTCAATAATTATAATAGCAGTTTCATATAAGTACAGTAGAAGTAAAAGACGGTATACAAATGTATATTTAGGGATCGGGTCATTTGCCCTCTTAAGAATTTATGGATCAAAATTAATTTCAACGGAGAAATCAATTTGTAGTGAATTTTTGATGGGGGAGAAAATTGAAAATAAGATGGGTTTATTTACGTATTCATGGCCTGCTTTGGATTATGGGGAAACAGTTTCAATTATTTGTAGTTGTCCTATTTTTGAAATGGTCTCGCGTAACATCTCTAAAGTTTATATTCTTGTTTAATGCCGAGAACTATTATTTTTCAAAATCTCTTGTAGCAAACCAATGTTTTATAATATATACAGATTATTCTATTCGAGTATGGCAATCTGCTATTGAGTTTATTGTCTGTGGTGTAGAACGCTTCTCTCCTACTTTTTTGTAAACTCTGATAATCGAATTAAGTGGCTAAACAAGAAATTTATTTGCATGAGGTATATTTCACAAAATAGGTTGCCTCCTTTTATCTCTTTTATTAACAATTAAAATAAATACGTACAACTTTCATCCCAAAATGTATACAAAATAATATATAAGTATTATTGTTTTACATGTCGGAAAATAAATAAAAATATATATTTTTCAAATTGTTTATTAGTTTAACTCAAAAATCGTTATATGAATGTTGACGTATAAACACCAGAAGTTGAAAACTCATACTAATGATAACAGCTATAGATTCCATCGAAAATGTATATACGTAACCACAAGGTGATATGGTGACCATAAAACAATGATAGAGTTTATATCCTGGAGAATATCGCGTTATGGTGCTCTGTATCCCAGTCTTCAGTATAACATCAATACGAGAACGCGTCTTTAGGAGAAGGGAGTCTTCTTAGTAATGAACTTAGTTATTTCTATGAATGTTACCCAATATTAGGTGCTGCTTGTCACTTGAAAATATTCTTACAGCCCGGGTAGCTCAGTCGGTAGAGCATTGGACTTTTAATCCAAGGGTCCAGGGTTCAAGTCCCTGCTCGGGCGAATTTTTTTTTTCCACGTTAAAAAAACTGTTTTTCAATTTTAAAATTTTCTAATCCAGCGACTCTCACAAAAGGGTGTAAAAAATAGGTACATATGTAATATGGTATTGAAACATATCTATTTAGCTTTAATCAATGTTTTCCTAAACATATTTTTAAATGTATCCATGCCCCGAAGTTATAACCACTTACCCATGAATATTTTTTGCCTTCTAGATAATTACCAAGGAAATTATTTTGGGCCATAATAAATGCTAAAGACCACTTACCTCCACGTAAGATTAGTATAAGGCCATTTTAGGCCGTGTATAGTGTATCGTTTCCGCCTCCCGGAAGTCTGTCGCTTTTCTTCCTTGTCCGGTATTCCGCATCTTGGCGTCTGCATCAATTTCAAAGTGCGCTCGTCCATTTGTCCCGTCACTGGTATTCCCGCGAATCCTTGAAGCTCCCGTATAGCATCTCTCACGGAATTTTCGGTTCGCAAGGCGAACGCGCCATCTAGCGATTTGTCCATGTAACCAAATTGCGTCAAGTAAGCTTGCTGTAACGAAACGGGAGAAACCATTAATACAGTGGCCCACAACGAAAATTGGTTCGATGAGACCGGCGAAAGTTCGGCTACTACTCGTTAGATGTCACAAGCATGCAGCATTTTAAATCTTCTTGTTTTATATTTGATTGTCTCTATCTAACAATGGCAAATAATTTTTACAATTGGTACATATTTCTTACAGCATTTTTCTCAAAATTGTATTACCGTACTCAATTCGATATTTTTCTATATTTTCAGCTAAATAAGGAAATCGTTTTTATCATTGGACATTATAGGAGTCGCAACTGAAACTTTTGAATGTTATCATAAAAATTGATTACGAGTGTAAAACAAAGACGATAATTTGTCTGGATGCCTAAAATTTATTGATATGAAATATGAATTTCCAACTTTCTAAACAAAGCAAAAATCAAATTTAAAAATAAAGCAAATTATTGAAAATGTTAAGGAAAGGTTTCGGAGCGGACAGTGGAGCATTAGAGACCGGACTAAAAAGCTTATTAAAATAATCCTAGTTGCAGACGGTAGTCAGTCTATCGACATTTTGGATCATTAAAATTTTTCTCGATATAAATATCCTGTGGCTTTCCCCGTATATCATGGAACTATCTATTCAATGTCTTCTGCGCCCTGTCGTCACTGTCACGTATCTTAAAACCAGACACATGTCACAACATAAAGCGTCATTAAGCTCTTTCGTAATGCGCTCGACTATAATTATTATCTGTCCTCTTTAATTAACGAGCTTTTTTTTTCTTATTTCAATGCAGCCGTTTACACTGATTATGAAGTATGGGGCAGTTTAATGCGGTACTATATGAGATGCAATTATGCGTTTTAAAGGAGTGTACTGTTTGCTTTGTGGGTTTCTTTGAACTTGACATTACAAACAATGCAGCCCGGATGATTTAAAAAGCAAAATCTATGTATAACAGACGATAATAAATCGCGACGTGCAAGTTTGAGCTTGGGCGGTATCAGGCTGGTATTGTAAAGGCGACTAGATGCAATTTATCTCTGAAATTCGTTTTCCAGAAAGGGGTTACGAAAAGAATTACATGGTCCATTGTTATCTTCAAAGTATGCGCTTGCTACTTAGCAGCAAATTGTCGCCGATAAGTTTGCATGGGCCAGAAAATAAGTATAAGACGATTATTTACTGGAAATAAAAAAAATATAATAATAATAAATAAAGAGAAGTCGAAGGGAAGAGCAATATTCCGATGATATACTAGATATTTGTAATATAAGTCTCTTCAAGTATTTCTTCGAATGAAGTATCAACTGAAGAAAGATCTCTATGCTAAAAAAACAACAAATAAAACAAGACAAAAACACAAAATGAAACACGTTTAGGTTATGATTTGGGTATGTCATAGGAACTGAAAATTAAAATGTGTTTTATATTACTGTGTGCGTGATAAAAATCTGTAACCCCGAACTACCCAAAAAGTTTGTTGGAACAGCAAAACTAACCAAACGCGTTCAGGCATACTGCGCACAATCTGCGTGTAGGAAAAGACAATCTAGCCGAAGACTAATATCGGGGATTCAATGAGCTTAAGCTTGCTCAAACATTTTTCTATTTCGAAAATTTAAAATATTTCATATTGCTATGTCAAGCTGTGGTTTCCGTTTGAAAACAAGGGTTAAGGGTTTCGGCAGTTTTATCACACTTGAGTCTGTTTTCTAATAACAATAGTTTTACTTTATCTATCTCGACAAAAAACTAACTAAAATGAACATACTGGGCTGCTTTTGCAATAGGGCCAATTTTATTTAGAGGAAGATGGGTGATAATGGGTAGGTATTCTTTTCTTTGTCGCACACACGTTAAAACTAATCCCAGAAAAATGTAATAAATCGATCTATTTGTATTATTTCTCAATTTTTCTGTTTGCTTTGTTTCTTTTTGGGCCACATCGTATGTTATCGCGTAAGTAACCAAGTGGTTATCATAGATTTTCACTGTTTATGACGGCGACAGTCTTATGTATATAGAAAATCTGTTAATAATTTCATGCTCGTGTCAATTATTAAAAATACATTTTTAAATCATAAAATCGGTTTTGTGTTATATATATTACCAAAATATTACCTTACCTTTGATAAGGATAACATCAGTGAATATGTGACATATATAGCTTAGTTAAAAGCTTTCGCAAGGATGATGCTTGGATGCTCTGGTTATAGTAAATAAGTTCCGAATATATGAATCAATTTCTTAAAAAAAAAAGTCTAAAAATAAATTGGTCTAAATCGATTGATATGTTTCTTGGACCGAATCGAGTATTGGCTAGGGAAGATATTCAGTTTTTTTTGGTCAATGCTTCTACCTGTCTCAGAATATTAAAACATACGAATAATTTTTAATAGTCGACTTAGATTGAAGAACCTAGAAAATGAATTAAGGATCATTTATATCCTTCCTTATACAATATAAGTCGACAGATATACTCACGCAGTCAATAAAAAACTGTTATCCCAATATACACTGTAATTGCGCTGATGTTGTTCTGCCCATGAATACAGAGAACTAAAGCCATATATTTTTAATCTAAAACTGAGAGATCATGGCATACCTGTAAGCTAAATATTTTGGGGTGGCGTAATATGCAGACAGATTGAAACTGCATTTAAGTTAGCTATTATCTTGATTCGGGTTTAAAGGCCGTCGTCGGTTGGAATTACTTCCTAACGTTTCGCTAGCACGAGTGGCAAGCTTCTTCAGAGGTCCTTCCATCTCCGATGTTGGACGTAGACTGACGATTTCTCCTACGCAAGTTGTATTTATGCCGATTGGTGGTGGGCGGGGCTTGTTCCGCTTCGGTTGGTCTCGGGATATCGATCGGTACTGTTCGGGCGTTCCTAAGGATCGGGTTCCAGATTTGGTTGAGTCTAGGGGTCTCCTCCCTTCTGTTGAAATTGTGTGGGTGTTTTTGTATCTCAATGGCTTCCCTGACTAGTCTATTGTGATAGCCGTTGACCGGTGCTAGTAACTTACAGCTCTCTAAGTGTATCCTGTGTTCCCCGCTGCCCAGTGCGTGTTCAGCTACTGCAGACTTCTCTGTCTGTCCTAGCTTGCAGCTTGCTTTATGCTCCTTAAGTCTCGTTCCCATTGATCTCTTGGTAGTTCCCATGTAGACCTTTCCGCATGAACACGGAATGCGGTAGACTCATGCAGCTGAAAGTGAGTCCCTCTTGTCCTTCGCTGACCTGATGGTCTGCTGGATCTTCTTTGTAGGCTTAAAAATTGTTTTGATGTGTCTTTTCAATACTCTGCCAATCCTGTCGGTGACACTCGGAATATACGGCAGATATACGTGGGAGGTAGAGGGTCGTTGTTCGGTATCCCGTGATCTTGATGATCTTGAGTTCATTGATCTCTCGATCTCCCTCTTGCTGTAGCCATTTGCTTCGAACGCAGTTTTCAGGTGTTCAAGTTCGATCTGGAGGTTCTCCAGTTCGCAAATCCTTCTGAAGAAGCTCGCCACTCGTGCTAGCGAAACGTTAGGCCTTTAAACCGGAATCAAGATAATAGCTTATCAACGGGCCGCGAAAGCCTTAGCCTTAGGTTGTTTTTTGAAGATATATCTTGGGAATGGTACTTATCAATGTCTTTGCAAAAAACATATATTTCCGAACATATATGACCTGGTAAATTTTTGATTGTATATGAGACCTCAGCGAGTTGTTATAAGGGGTTCCGCTGGGTTCCAATTTTGGTCCATTACTTTTATGAGCTACTGATCTGAAACTTTATGGTATTATTAAACATTGCATTTCAATGCTGATAAAATGTATTGTGCTTCCTATAATATCAATAAAATATTATCTTTCAGCACACATATATAATCTAGAGCATCTAAAGTGTATCAGTTTATCATAAGAAATTGTAAGTATTTTAATTTAATGGCTTACAACATTGTATACATCATTTGTAAGAAGTATGCTTTAATATTTTTTTTATGAAGTCCCTGCTATGAAACTGACAAGTATAACATTGAAAAGGTTGCACATATCACAGACAGGCATGCATCAGGCATCTTCATTCTCTGCAAAATAGAATAAACGTGTCTGCAGTCATTTTTTATACAAATTTTTAAATAATATGATTAACGCTTTCGAATTCTTCATTCAGCTCCAGCGTATATAACGTGAAATTTCTTGAATTTTTATCTAGATAATCCCCATAGTAATTGTCATAGTAATTCACGAATTATTATTATGTGTAAATTGTGCAATTAGATCCGCTCAGAGTGTGATTTATGTCATATTTAGTGCGTTAGTAACCTCTAATCTAAACTATTGAAATATAAAAGTAAATATAAAATTTTATTTTTATATGTCCTAGGTTGTTCCCACCCTACTGCTGAGTTTGTAAATAAAAATAATAAATTACGCCGATATATATTAGCCTTTTTGTCAGGCCGTTTATGTATAGAGTTTTGTAATTTTCCTCCATTCTATTCTATCTCTTGTTATATTTCTCCAACTAGTAATCCTTCCCTCTCTTAAATCTTGCTAGACGGCTTCTCTCCATCTTCTTCTTCTCAGTCTACCATGCTTCCTCCTCCCCTCTGGTTTTTTCCATGCCACTTCCTTTTCTATTATTTTCCATGGTGATGAGGTGCCCTAGAAATTGAAGTCTCCTTGCTTGAACAAATTTTTCGATTAGCTTATCTCCGAATAGTTCGTATTCATCCTTCTCTCCCACGCATGCTCTGTATTCTTTCCCCCAAAGATTCGACTTAATACTGTATACTTAGTTTCTGTTGTTTTTTTTATTAAGGGCTCATGTCTCAGAACAGTAAATTAAAGTTGGTCGGAGTTTTGTTGCTCTCTATTGACATTTCAATTTTGTGAAGCCCCCACAGATAATTATTACATTTTGCTATTCGTAGATCCAACTCCTTGTCACATTTGTTGGTTATGAGTACTCCCAAATATCATATCAATGTCATTTACCTCTTCAGATTCATATCTTG